CAAGCAGAAAGAAAATGTCAAAAACAAGCAGCAAGAAACGAAACTTTACTGAAAGTGAATTGGAGGTGTTACTATCAGAGGTAGAAACGAGAAAAAATATTTTATTTGGAACTTTGTCCTCTGGAATTAATAACAAAAGAAAAAACAATGAGTGGGACAGTTTGGCTGATGCCGTCAACGCGGTGGGATCGGAAAATCGCACTGTAAATGAGCTTTAAAAAAATGGTCTGATATAAAGGTGGAAGTTAAGCGAAGAACTGCTGCGCACCGACAAAGTGTGGGCAGAACAGGCAGTGGTACAGGGGTCGATGAACTTACACCCTTTGAGCAGAGAGTTGCCTCGATTGTAGGCGACACTTTACTCTCCAGAATAGTATCCGTTGTGGTGGGAGACTCGGATTTACAGGACTAATTTCTCATTTATTTGCTTAACTTTGGTACACATAGCTTACCAGACCGCATTTAATTTTCAAATGCATGCAATATAGCTTACTAAAAGTAGCATGCACCAGAGATTTTACATATCCATGGCATTTATAGCAAATGCGTATACCCATTAATAAGGAACAGACTCAAATCACAGTTAACATGTGCCTGTGTTTATTTGGACTTATATGGTGCAACAGCAGGAACATCCACTGGCACCCACTCGGAGTCTGCCCCTCCTGAGCAGCCAGGGCCCAGTGTGTCCAGTGTTTCCAGTGCTCCCCCCAGTGCTGAGGCCCGTCCATCTGGCCACATCTTGACGCATGCTGTTCTGGAGTCACAACAGCAAATCATTAGGGCCATCTGAGAAATTAACAGTCACCTGAAAAATATCACTGACGCACTCACAGACATAAGCCACGCATTAAACGAATTGGTCAAAACATGAACTTGGTCTCTGATTACTATTTATACTGTCGCAATCACATGTTGACGGGCCTGAATGGCTTGTTAGTTGGGCTGCACATACACTGGTCCTGGGTCGGGGTCATCTGGCGGTGCCACCACCTCACCAAGTGGTATGCCGTGCCTGTACGCGACATTGTGCAGCTCACCACAGGCCAGCACGATGCGGCACACCTTCTCAGGGCGGTATAACAGCATCCCCCCAGTCCTGTCAAGGCAGCGCCAGCGACATTTCAGCTGCCCAATTGCCCGCTCTACCACTGACTGAGTGCGAGAATGTGCATCATTGTATCTGCGCTCTCGGTCAGTTTGTGGGTTGGTGAGGGGGGTTAACAGCCACGTCTTTAGTGGATAACCGCGGTCTCCTAATGGGCAGTTGAATAATTAAACGCAACAAAACCAACAACAACTTTTAGATAGGACCATATAACTTTAAATGCATCACTCACCTAGAAGCCACCCATCGCGAACCCTGCCAGCTTGGAGCCTCATCCCAACCATGCTGTTTGTATGAATGTATGAATCATGGGTTGACCCAGGCCACTTTGCCACAATTTTTGTTAGGCGCATTTGTGCATCACATATTATCTGCACATTTATTGAATGGAAATGTTTTCTATTCACATATGCAAATTCTTCTTCAGATGGCGCCTTTATAGCAACGTGTGTGCAGTCGATCGCTCCGATTACATTAGGAAAACTGGCTATCACTGCAAAGTGCGTTTTAATGTTTGGCTGGTCAACTGCATCGTATGGGAACCTTATATACCTGGTAGACAAGCGGATGATCCCATCCCATACAGCTGGGATTGCGCGGCTCAAACACGACTGGCATATTCCTGAGCGGTCTGCCAGTTCCCTTTGGAAAGAACTAGTTGCCAGGAAACCAAGTGTTGTCAGCACCTGTAAGGGAACGGGTAGTGCGTGGCTCCTCGCTGTCTCTCTCTCTCCAAATTCGGACCCAACTCATCACAGAGCTCCAAGAGGATAGCCCTTGGAAACCTGAAACGGCTGATAAGCCAGTTATCATCGTGGGCCAGAAAATCATTGTGGTCCCTAAAAACTCGTTCTCTTCGGATTCTGCCATTGGCAATGTCCTCTAATAAGGCTAACACTGCCATTGCCATATAGACTAAGGTTATCAATTTGCACATTATTTTATATGTTCTTACTTAGTTGCATAATTGATAGAATATTCCCATGAGGCTTGTGTGACAATAGTATGTCAATTATTTTATTAATTACAAATTAATAGCAGTGTTTCTCACAGGTGGTGGTGCAATAGACTCGTAGAACAATTCGTAGTCTAATGTTTGCAACTTCACTTCATTGCCTCTAGGAGTCGCCAACGGACAAAAACCACAAGAAATGTACGTACGCCAGACATGAAGTTGGCATGGAGGAACGCACATTCTCACGTTAATTTCACTGTTAGTACATCCGACCATGAGCGTGAAAGCTGGCGTACGCAAAGTTTATGTGCGTACGCAGAGTTGATACATGAGGCCCCAGGACTTCTGTCCAGGCATTCATTCCAGAAGCTGCACGTCCCTTTCCAGGCTCGAGAAAGGACACAAAGCGAAGAGGCAAAAGGAGGTGAGTGGCATTTGGTTTTTGCTTTGTCCTGAGTAATTTCTTTATACATGCTGCCTGCTACCATGTGGACAGAGAATGAGCAATAACTGCCTGTAAATTTATACAAATGTTGACAACAATTTTTCTCACTTTGAATGTTGCAGGTCAACGGCGATCCTCACGGACTCTCCGGTGAGGGCAGCTCTGGAGGAGGAGCAAAAGAAGAGGATCCAGAAGAAGCCGTCCGCTCCAAAGGAAAGGCTCCATACTATCGAAAACACTGCACCCACAGCTTCCCAGAACAAGGATGAGGAATGTCTTGTGTGTGGGGAAACATTCAACTCATCCTTGCCTGGGGAAGTGTGGGTGCAGTGTCTCTTTTGCCAGCTCTGGTCACACGAGGCATGCACTGAGGGTGCAGAACATTTATATCTGTCACAACTGTGACAATGAGTAGGCAAATGCCTTTTGTTATGTTCGTGTTTGTTTGTACTGTTTATCTGTTAATGCCTGTCAGGTTTCTATCCAAATGAACCTCTTTTTGCCACCTGACTCTTTCGGCTTATATAGTGTTGTGGCAAGTTTGTTATGTCGGGTTACCTTTGATGAAATTGAAATTTTAAATGAAAATGTAATTTAATCATTTTTTGCAAAGATAAAGGACAAAATATGTTTGCAGTTACGTATGAACAAGGCCACAGTCAGGTATATTTAATACAAAATAAGAGTAACACAAAATCTAGCTTGTATTGTTTGTGTTACTGTTTACTTTGTGTTACTTTGTTATTGTGTGTTACTTTCGTCCCAACAGACGGGGTCAAAAGTAACAATGTACAACTTATGTTCAAAGTGAAATTATACTGAAGTCGTTTTACATTTGTACAAAATACCACCTGGTATTGATAGACCACACTTGTGAGTTACTGACCACAGCAAAAATATATCTAAACATTATCTTTTAAAATGACGTTTTTCTGAAAAGTGGTACTTTCGCCCATGCTCTCCGATAATAAAATGATTATAAATGAATGAACAAATGATTATAAAAGAAAGTTGCAAATGTATGGTTGCTCTCTTGAAGCAAAACACACACAGTTTGCATTAGAGGATCCTCCGAGCCTGTACAGTATAGTGAAGCCTTTCCTCCTTTGACATTCAAAATGACACTGGTCTCCTTCCCTGCATACCACCAAAGCGACAGTGTTAGCATTAGCCATTATGCTTTTTTTGGCTAGCTTGCAGGCTTGCCTTCCTGAGGCTTTGGTTGTCATGTCCCATGCTGTGTTAATGAAGGAAACAAAACAAAAGCCAAATATTCTATTTTTAAGCAGAATTGCTTTTACGAAATGTATGAATTGCTGATGCATTTAGCCATCTAGAAACACATTTTCAACTGTACCCATTAAACACAGTGCATATTTCTCAAAATGCTATGATATCCGTATATTCTTCATGTTACAAAATCAGCCAGTTATAGATATAAGAGTTGTGTGGTATCACAAATTATACCACAGCACTGAACATTGCTTCAAATTCAAGAACTAAAGTGAAATAAGTATGTAAAATGGCTTTCTAAGGCACTTTAATCTTAGCTATAAGTGGTTCTTGCTAGGCTACTCTAATGCTGCGTTCAAGTCCTCCTGGGACGTTCGTACTTACGAGTTGACAAGTCGTAATTACGACGTCAGGTGCGTTCAAGTCAGTTTAGTCGGCACAAGATGGCGGTGTACCTTCTTTTAATAAATTACAAGAAAATACAACAGGGTCTGTTAACTCTGCTTATAGAAAATGAAGAGCAAAGAATTCGCATCAGGTGTGTTTTGCGTTTTTAATATTTTTAAAACATGCAACATGGCAAATCAAAAGATTTTTCACCTAGAGGTGCAAAAATTATAGCATTTTTTCCCCTTGGATTTCATTAACTAGCTGCGTAACAAGAACATGACCAATTTAAGTTTATAGGACAACTAAACTATCAATTTAAACAAAAACTTACCGTCAACTACAGACGTTGCATCCATCGATTCCGCCATGTTTCTCATTGACACGCCTCCAACTCAGAAACTCGGGGCTTAAAGAAAATTTCAAGTTTCCCACTCGTAATAACGACTTTGTGGTGGCGTTCATGTGCGTTCAAATCATAAATACGATCTATCCGACATGACTTGAACGCACCATAATGCATTATGTATTTTAGTATTAAAATACATAGTATTTAGTAGTATTTAAACTCTACCTGATATGGGTACAACTGGAACAAATACATGTGTTGTATTTAAGAACTAATTGTGGAAAATATAAGTTATTTTTTATATTATTATTTTATTAGTAGTCAGTTGAAAGAAACAGCACATGATGACAAAAATATTTGTATAACTAGTTTTTGTATGGTAATGTAAAAAGCCATAGTTTTAATTAAAGCCGTAATTTTCAGTACGTCGCTGGAATAATTAAAATCACAATCTGAATACTGCTGTCATAGAGTATGTTTTATATTTTGTTGTTTCCTATGTAGTTTGAGCGTGTGAAGGGGACTTTTATTTTGGTCTGGCGATATGACGTCATAAAGCCGCGTCGCGCTGCTGCGTCTGTGAATCAGCTGAAGAAAGGTTTGTGTTTTTAAGCATTTAAATCGAGAACTTTCAGACAAAATAATAGTTTTAGAAGAGCTGTAAAATCAACGTTTCGTTATTTAGTGTATTATTGTTATATGTAACATTAATTAACATTTAGTCTGTGTACAATCCACACGAGCAAGTTAACCAGGAGTTTTGCAGGTTTTATAAAGGTAAATGTAGCCCAAGTCTTTTTTTTTTAAAGACCCCTTTTCAGATTTTATTCCTTAAACTGCTTCCTTTGTTTATTTTTTAAACTAAACTAAACTAAACAAAAAAATGAATGGACTGAGGGGAACATAATATGCACATTTTTTAAAAATGTAAATGTCTAGGGAGCATACAATGAGTTGTATTAGCAACTAACAATTAAACGCATGTATTGAAAGTACCACTCTCAACTGATCTCTATTACTATTGAATTATTTAATGTAAACTGACATAAGCAAAATGACAAAATAAGGCGTGTTTTCTGTGAAACTTAAAATGAATTATGAATGAATGATGCATTTATATAGCGCTTTATTGTGTATTGTTGTACACCCAAATCACCTCAACTAATTAGTTTGATTAAAACGAGAACAAATATCTGCTAATGGGCTCAGAATCATCAACTTAATTAAAAGGGGAAAACTGGTTTTTGTACCCCTTTAACAGATATATGTTCTTGTTTTAAACATGAACGCCCTTAATTCTTATTATATCTTAAATTAAATCACATCCTGATTAGCATGTTTAGATGTTCATATTGGAAAAAATCATTTTGCAGTGCATGCACCATCTAATGCCATGACTGTGAATTTAAGTCTTTCTGCTGTGGTTTAAGACCTTTTTAATGTCTTAAATTGTGGAAAGGTGCATTAAGAGCTTTTATATGGCCTGCAAAACCACGATAAAAGAAAAAATGGTGCATCTCGTTTTGCTCCTTGTATCGTGAATTCTAAACACCAATTCAAGTTCTAAAGGGTGAAGCAGACATTTTCTGTTCAGTTGAGTTAATTGCTTGCCAAAATGATTTTGTTTCCCTTTTTATTGTTTCACTCTTGTCTTGCCAGTGCACTGACTACTTAACTAGGGAGCTAATTGAGATGCACCAAAATATTTAGTTTTATGTATTTTTTATGTTAATTATTCTCATATTAAACATGACAATGTATTCAAACACACAGAAAACCCCCTGGTGAAGCAACCGAGATCCACGTGATCCACGCACTATTATTAAGATGGCGTTAATTAAGGAGGAGAGTGAAGACATTAGGATTGAAGAAGCATTCAGTGTGAAACAAGAAGATACTGAGGAACAAATAGGTTGGTTTCCTTTCTCAAAGCTGAACTCCTTATTAAAATGTTGACCTCATTAGAAATGAATTATACTTTGAGTGGCCAAATCAAAGCGATTTTATTTGATGTGGAGCGGTGGACAGACATGTTGAGATCACATGACCAACCATTATATATAATTATAATATACTATATAATATGTTATCTACTTCTGAACTGAAATAACCATCCATTTCTATTGCCTAATTTTGAAACATATCTAAACAATTTGTTTTGCACCGAGCAAACTGAAATGTGAGTGAACAACTTTGTTTGTCTAATATGTTTTTTTCTTCTTTGCATCCTCAAAAGTGCTCACTGTATCAAACTGGTGTCTTGTAAACAACTTAAAATGATGGTGCGTTCAAGTCATATAAGAAAGATTGTATTTACAAATTAAACACCCATGAAGTGCACCACAAAATCATAATTTTTTTTCAAAAGATTTATTTTTGTCGACTGATTTTTGAACGACTTCTGATTACGCCCTTAATTCTTATTATATCTTAAATTAAATCACATCCTGATTAGCATGTTTAGATGTTCATATTGGAAAAAATCATTTTGCAGTGCATGCACCATCTAATGCCATGACTGTGAATTTAAGTCTTTCTGCTGTGGTTTAAGACCTTTTTAATGTCTTAAATTGTGGAAAGGTGCATTAAGAGCTTTTATATGGCCTGCAAAACCACGATAAAAGAAAAAATGGTGCATCTCGTTTTGCTCCTTGTATCGTGAATTCTAAACACCAATTCAAGTTCTAAAGGGTGAAGCAGACATTTTCTGTTCAGTTGAGTTAATTGCTTGCCAAAATGATTTTGTTTCCCTTTTTATTATTCCACTCTTGTCTTGCCAGTGCACTGACTACTTAACTAGGGAGCTAATTGAGATGCACCCAAAATATTTAGTTTGAATTTATTTTTTATGTTAATTATTCTCATATTAAACATGACAATGTATTCAAACACACAGAAAACCCCCTGGTGAAGCAACCGAGATCCACGTGATCCACGCACTATTATTAAGATGGCGTTAATTAAGGAGGAGAGTGAAGACATTAGGATTGAAGAAGCATTCAGTGTGAAACAAGAAGATACTGAGGAACAAATAGGTTGGTTTCCTTTCTCAAAGCTGAACTCCTTATTAAAATGTTGACCTCATTAGAAATGAATTATACTTTGAGTGGCCAAATCAAAGCGATTTTATTTGATGTGGAGCGGTGGACAGACATGTTGAGATCACATGACCAACCATTATATATAATTATAATATACTATATAATATGTTATCTACTTCTGAACTGAAATAACCATCCATTTCTATTGCCTAATTTTGAAACATATCTAAACAATTTGTTTTGCACCGAGCAAACTGAAATGTGAGTGAACAACTTTGTTTGTCTAATATGTTTTTTTCTTCTTTGCATCCTCAAAAGTGCTCACTGTATCAAACTGGTGTCTTGTAAACAACTTAAAATGATGGTGCGTTCAAGTCATATAAGAAAGATTGTATTTACAAATTAAACACCCATGAAGTGCACCACAAAATCATAATTTTTTTTCAAAAGATTTATTTTTGTCGACTGATTTTTGAACGACTTCTGATTTTTTTTGAAGTCGACTTTTATGTGATGAAAGTCGAAGTCGACTAGTCGCTGATTTTTTTCAGTTTCTAAGCTTTTTTTATTGAGAAATCACAGAACAGTGTTGACAATACATTTCCGCGCTGAATGATTCTGTGCACGTGATGTACGCGCTACTGTCTGTAGCCTGTGTGTGCGCGTTACAGTGCAGCAGCGCATTAGATTAGAACGGCGATTAACTTACCTGTACAATAAGCTGTTTAAAACGTGCATCCTCCCGTTCAATTTCGAGCATCCAGTAATATAATCACATGTCTTGTGGAGCGCTTTCAGAGTATGCATTTATTTGTCATTTGAACTGTTTGGAAACAGAGCGTAAATGTGGAAGTCCTTCAAAGATTTCTTATCCTGTTACGCCCTCTATAGGACCAGCGACTAGTCAACGTCAAGCTTAAAGCGTCATGGCAGAGCATTGAAGTCGATTAGTCGGTGCAACCCCTAGTACACGTAGCAAGTTTTTTTTTTTTTTTAAATCATATAATAAATAAAAAGAAAACAGATAGAATAGAGCAAGCTAGTGTTCGAGGCCGTTTTTGCTATTGTTAATCATCATAAATCAGAAAGTCAGAATTATAATTGTATAATAAATAAAAAGAAAACAGATAGAATAGAGCAAGCTAGTGTTCGAGGCCGTTTTTGCTATTGTTAATCATCATAAATCAGAAAGTCAGAATTATAATTGTATAATAAATAAAAAGAAAACAGATAGAATAGAGCAAGCTAGTGTTCGAGGCCGTTTTTGCTATTGTTAATCATCATAAATCAGAAAGTCAGAATTATAATTGTATAATAAATAAAAAGAAAACCGATAGAAGGCAAAAAGATTAGAGAAGCAAGTGTTAGTTTTATTTTATTTTTTTTAAGAAAAACAAGCAGTTACTAAATAGAGTGCAAAAGGGGCAAGTTTTATTTAAATTTTTATAAAGAATAGAATTAGAATAGAGAGTGCTAGAGTTAGACGGTCAAATAAAGATGGAAGAGATGTGTTTTTAGCCGATTCTTGAAGATGGCTAAGGACTCAGCTGCTCGGAATGGCACAATAAAGCACTGTTCACTTGCAGAACGCAAGCTTCTAGAGGGCACATAACACTGAAGTAATGAATTTATGTAAATGGGTGCAGAGCCAGTGGTGGTTTTGTAAGCAAACATTAATGCCTTGAATTTTATGTGAGCAGCTATTGGTAGCCAGTGCAAACTGATAAACAGAGGTGTGACTTGCATTCTTTTCGGCTCGTTAAAAATTGATCTTGCTGCCGCGTTCTGGATTAATTGTAAAGGTTTTTATAAGAACTGGCTGGAAGACCTGCCAAGAGAGCATTGCAATAGTCCAGCCTGGACAGAACAAGAGCTTGAACAAGGAGTTGTGAAGCATGTTCCGAAAGAAGGGGCCTGATCTTCTTGATGTTGAATAAAGCAAATCTGCAGAACCGGGCAGTTTTAGCAATGTGGTCTGAGAAAGTCAGCTGATCATCAATCATAACTCCAAGGTTTCTGGCTGTTTTTGAAGGAGTTATGGTTGATGTGCCTAACTGGATGGTGAAATTGTGATGAAATTATGGGTTTGATGGAACCACAAGCAGTTCTGTCTTGGCAAGATTGAGTTGAAGGTGATGGTCCTACATCCAGCAAGAAATGTCTGTTAGATAAGCTGAGATGCGAGCAGCTATCATCAGATCATCAGGATGGAATGAGAGGTAGAGTTGGGTGTCATCAGCATAGCAGTGATATGAAAAGCCATGTTTCTGAATGACAGAACCTAGTGACAGAGAAGAGAAGTGGTCCAAGAACTGAGCCCTGAGGCACCCCAGTATTTACTTATACAGTTTAACATCAATTTATTAAAAGTTTAATAAAAATGACATGTTTAGGGCCCTTATGTTTTATTGTTAGCAAATTCTGGGTTTTAGCATGCCTTAATTATTTGAATGCATAAAAATTAGGAATGCACAGGAATGAAAATTCTTGGCCGAATCTGAATCTGAACAAAATGAAAAACTGGGCCGAAGGACGAATACCAAATGCAGTTTTTCATATTTTTTTTCCTCATGTATTTTTTTCAATGAAAAAAATCAATTACAAAACAACAATTTATAAATATTTACTTAACACTGAACATTCTAGCAGACATACCAACAAAGCACAATTTAACGTAAAATTAGTAAGTTAGTAAATTTGTTTTGGTAATTTTTGAGACCCTCTTCTTGAATCAGGCATGTATTTCTTTTACTGTACAAATAAATGCTGCCTTGCTGAGCAGAAGAGAATTCTTTTAAAACATTAGAAATTATTTCAGATTCCACAGATACAAATCTATTACAGATTTGAACACTGTGTGAATGTTATAATAAATGTATTAATATAGCTGTTGTAATTATTATTATTGTCTTTTTTATTTTATTTTACAGAACAACAGTAAAATTACAATACTAACATTTATGAATGTTGATGGAGCTTTTATTTTGGCAGAAAACCCCCAGGAAGACTTCAGTGCTTCTTTTTGTTGACAACAGCAGATTTATAAATGATTCTCTTTAAGAATTTGGGAAGAAGTTTGTTGCACGTATCACATTGTCACATCCCTGCCTTGTAAAAATTCATAAAAATGTGACTGAGCAACTGACGAGTAACGCTGTTTCAGTGCAGCTTTTTATCACACTTTGGACTTTGAACTCTGGCTAACAAGCAGATAGCGCCTCGAGCTCTTGCAGCACTATTTGAATAAGTACAATTCATGTGTGAATTAGAAAACATAATATTCTGCAGTTTATTTACTACTTCTTTGAGGCCATTTCGCAATTTCAATCATCATCATACAGTAACCAGCAACAACCACCCCTTCCACTTCTCATCGAGACATGAGATGCAGCACTAAGCAGTCTCTTGCTGTCTGTGCTTGTAATCATTTATGTTATGTAAGCTGATATATGTTTCTGCCGGGGGGTGATCAAACCCCCCAACCCCCCCAACGTGCATTTTATTTTTATTAAAAAATTAAAAATTATACACATTTTCACCGCTGTTTCCATGACTAAATAATAACATGGCAAAGTTATCATACAGATATTAAAAAAAATATATATATATATTTACAGTATCTCACAGAAAATATTTTATTATATCTTTTCATGTGATCTGCAGTTTATTTACTACTTCTTTGAGGCCATTTCGCAATTTCAATCATCATCATACAGTAACCAGCAACAACCACCCCTTCCACTTCTCATCGAGACATGAGATGCAGCACTAAGCAGTCTCTTGCTGTCTGTGCTTGTAATCATTTATGTTATGTAAGCTGATATATGTTTCTGCCGGGGGGTGATCAAACCCCCCAACCCCCCCAACGTGC